GGAGATGGTGATGTTGAGGTAATGTCACAGGATTAGTAATCCGGAGGCCTAGGCTAATTCTCTGGATACAAATCCAACTTTGGAGAATTTAAATTCAGCGAATTAAAAATCTAGACTTGAAAGTTAATCTCAGTGATGGTGGACAGAAAACTATTATCAAATGACATCAACACCCTTCTGGTTCACCAACATTCTTCAGGGAAGGAAACTGCCATCCTTACCCGGTTTGACCTACACGTGACTCCAGACTCATAGCAATGTGGTTGACTATTAACTGCCCTCTGAAATGACCCTATGGAGCCTCTCAGTTCAAGGACAATTAGGGATAGGGCAACAAATACTGGCACCAAATTGTTATGATAACCAGAGAATTGGTATCAGCAACATCGGGCCAGGGCACTAGCAAGACTTCTTCTGTTCTTCAAAATAATGTCAAAATATGTTCACTTTATTAGTAACACTTCCAGCAGTACAGTCACCCTGTTCTTAAAGTCTTTGGAGGGGGACTTAGTGTTACAGAATCATGTTCGCCGAGCTGGTAGGTTTGTCTCAGTGATGGTAATCACAAAACTATCATCAACTATCATTAACACCTATCTGGTTCAGTAACGTTCTTCAGGGAAGGAAATCTGCCATCTTTGTAGTGAGACAATATCTCACAACACACGGACAATGAGGGACACGAATTCAACTGGGACAACATATCCATAATCGCACAAGCCAAACAGAGACATGCCCAGGGAATTCCTGGGGGCCCGGTATTCCAACCAAAACTCCATCCACAAACACATTGAATTAGACCCTGTGTACAAACCACTGAGGAACAGAACCGGAAGTGGTACCAAACACTCCAAGAAACTGAAGCATATAAATAACAAGCGGGACAGAACACTGATGCTTCATTGGAGGCACACTGATGATGTTACCTAGCAGGGTGACGAAACACTTGCAACCAAACACACCAGCTCGGTCAGCAAGTCTACAACCTCATCCACAAACCCGAGCTAGAAATCTTCTTGAAAACTTTAACGTTATGAAGATATGCAGCATGGAAACAGGCCCTTTGGTCCAACTCATCCATGCCAAACAGACATCCCAGTCTGAGTAGTCCCATTTACCAGCATTTGACCCATATCTCTCCAACCTTTCCTATTCACGTGCCCATCCAGATGCCTCTTATATGTTGTAATTGTACCAGCCTCCACTTGAATCCATTATTTTCTGATCAGAGGCAAAAGTGCTTCTAACTGAGCCATCATTCACACCTAAGCCCTTCTTAGTTGCAAATGTACCGCATTGCAGTTTTATGATGGTTTTGTATTTATTAATATTTGTGTATTTCAGATTATGGATATCTGTATTTATTTTTAAAGAATTCAGTGAGAGGACTTTGGAACAGTTTTTTTAACAAGGTATTTCTTTGTTACATTACACGTTAGCTTTCAGTAGAAGAGGATTTGAGTTCAGAAGTTAGCATATCTTACTGCAGATATACAGGGACTTGGCGAGACCACACGTGGAGTACTGTGTGCAGTTTTGGTCTCTCTGCCTAAGAGAGGATGTACTTGCCATTGAGGGAGTGCAGCAAAGGTTAACTCAGCTGATACTGGGGATGGCCAGACTGTCTTACGAGGAGAGATTGGTTTGACTGGGCCTGTCTTTAGTACAGCTTTGAGACAGGATCTGATTGAATCACGGAATCCCTACAGCACGGAAAGAGTCTATTCAGCCCATCAAGTCTGCAGTGACCCTCGGAAGCACATTCCACATTATCCCCATAACCCCACATTCCCATGGCCAGTCCACCTAACCTGACCTATTCAGCCTGTCCCTACAGCACAAACCCTCCAAAATTGGAAACTTCCTTGTAAATCTTTTCAAGTTTCACAACATCTTTCATGAATTAAATCAAACAGCCTGAAACCTAACCTGGACATTTACCCCACCCCCCTACTGCAGTAGTACAGCACAGTTTGATACTTCTCTTGCTTTTGAGGTCGACTTTGCAATTCATTCGCTTCTCCACAAACCCTTTGGGAAGCTGGTAACATGAGTAAGCACAATGACTGAAGTCCCCAAGGACTGTCACTTCGTGAAACACCCAATGTGCCAGGGATACTTAGAATCTCTCAGAAAAGGGAATGGCGCAACGTTTTATCAAAGTCACATGCAAACGACAGAAATTTTAACAAACCTGAAAATGTTGGAAATATGCAGGTTTGTGAACAGCTTCAAGAGGCAGACTAGCTGTTGTGGAAATGACCCAATGCAAATATGATTCATTTTAACTGGGAGTTGATACGATAATATCAATACAACTGTAAATTCAGCTACAAAAATAGCAATTGCTGAGAAAGCTCCGAAGGTCTAGCAGCTTCTGTGGAGAGAAAGAAGAGTTAACGTTTTAGATCCTCAGAATTGATGGTTGCTAGGAATATGTCGGTTTATATGCAGAAGACGGGGTGGGAGGCACGGGGTAAGGAGTTAACAATAGGTGGGGATAGAGCCTGAAGAGAAGAACAGTTGGACAGACAAAGGAGTGGATAACGATCTAGGGTGAATAACTATTAATGGGGACTGTTAGTGGCTAACAATGGGCTGTGAGCAATAGCAGACTATGTGATAACAAGGCCTGGCGGTGGGGGATTGGGTACGAACATGGGAAAGCTCAAACCCTAAAGTTATTGAACTTGACATTGAGTCCGGAGGGCTGCAGGGTCCCCAAGCGGAAAATGTAAATTCATTTGGTACTTGAAGGTTAGTAGCTACGCCGGTACATCATATTCTCCTGACATCAACCCAACAAGGTAAATGGGTGAGATCATCCAGTCGTGAGCATTTCTCTGATCTGACAATATTGCCCCTTCCTTCTAGGATCTTCCGATCCTCACTGAAGCAGAAATGAGGAGTTTAGGCAGTCCAAAGTCAGTCCAGCAAGTGTCAGAGAATTAGGAGAAGGACAACATCTCCTTTTTACAGCATTAGCTGTTACATTTGGGTCACTTTCTAAAGGCTTTGTCTTTTAATGAATGAATATTGAGCCCATCGAATCTTCTCCACCATTCAAGGTCAGTGCACTACTCCCAATTTCATGCACTTCAATTTTATACGGTAATCTCTAGTGTGGGACCTTATCAAAAACCTTCTGAAACTCCAAATAAACCACGTCCACTGGTTTTTCCTTATCAGATCCACCAGCTACATCCTCAAAAAATTCCCATTGATTTGTTAAGCATGATTTCCCTTTCATAAATCCATGCTCAGGCTTTCCAGTCCTGTCATTGTTTTCCCAAGTGCTCTGTTATAATGGACTCTAGCATTTTCCCTACTACCGAAGTCGGGTTCACTGATCTACAATTCCTGTTTTCTCTCTACCTGCTTGTTTGATGAGTGCAGTTAGGTAAGCTAACCTCCAACCCACAGGAACTCTTCCACAATCTACCAAATCTTGAAAAATGACTACCAACCTATCCACTACTTCTAGGGTCACTTCCTTAAATGAGAGTTCCCATGCACGTGCTGCCCTTGTCCTTCTAGAAGTTAAAGGTCACAGGTCTGAAGACTGTTTTTGAAGTGATTTGAGAGAGTTGCTGCAGTGTACCTTGCAGATAAACACGTACTGGCTGTGCAACAGTGTTGAAGGCAATGTGTTTGAAGAGATGCGAAACAAAGAGGGCTACATTGTTCCTGTTATTAAGCCACATTTATCCAGGCTAGCAGGAGACTAAGAGCATTTGTGAGAATTGCAAGGGGATGGGGGATTGGAGGGGGGGAGCGCGGAAAGAGTTGGGGCAATGAGTAAGCCTTCTATTTGTAGAGTTGTAGTCACACAGCACGGAAACAGACTCTTTGGTCCAAGCACTCGATGCTGAACATAATACCAAACTGAACTGGTCCGACCTGCCTGCTCCTGGCCCATATCCCTCCAAACCTTTCCTATTCATGTACTTGTTCAAGCATCTTTTACAAGTTGTAATTGTGCCCACACCCACCACTTCCTCAGGAAGCACATTCCACACGTAAACCATCCAGTGTAAAAAATTTGCCCCTCATGGCTTTTTTAAAATCTCTCTCCTCTCACCATAAAAATGCGTTCCCAAGTCTTAAAATCCCCCATTCTAGGCAAAAGATACCTACCATTAACCCTACCTATATCCCTCATGATTTTATAAACTTTTATCAGGTCACCTCTCAACCTCCTACACGCCAATAAAAAGAAGTCCTAGCCTATCCAGACTTTCTTTGTAACTTAAACCTTCCATATCCAGCAACATCCTGGTATATCTCTTCTGTACCCATTCCAGCTTAATAATATCCTTCCTATAACTGGGTGACTAGAACTGGACACAGTACTCCAGGAGAGGAGCCATCAATGTCCTGTACAACCTTGACATGACTTCCCAACTCCTTTACTCAAAGGACTGAGCAATGAAGGCAAGCGTGCCTAATGCCTTTTTAAACCATCCTGACTGTATGTGACGCAAAATTCAAATAATTATAAACTTGAACCCCTCGCTCCCTCTGTTCTATAACATTTTGCCATGTACTTTTAGCTGATCAATTACAATTAACCACTGGCTGCTTCCAGGCCTTTAGCAATATGATTGAGCTATGCAATTCCTCTTTAGGACTTGATTCTCCTCCACACTGCTGTAAATGTGATGGATGGTGTTTATAAACCATCTAAGTCATTCAGTTTCCTTCAGCTACTACAGTGGGTTAGTCAGTGCTCCTTTGTGGTCAAGCAAGCTCAGGCTAGATGTAGTAACATCCAGTTTTTCTCAGTCCCAGATTGAAGGTGCAATCCGCTGTTGTGCAAAGGCTACTCCAGAAGCTCAAATCCAAGAGCCATCCAATAGTAGAAAGGTTAAAGAGCTTGAATATTGGTCAAAATCAAAAATCAGGATCAGATTACTGAGCCTTCTTTTCTGATGAAGGCTACACATTATCAATCAGAATTAGGAAACCACAGAGGTGTATGGCAGTCAATCTGAACGAAATAAAATGGATAAAACTTATTTTATTTCTATTGTGCAGTGAATTATTTACAGACATTTTTATAGAAGTAATCAGTTCAGAGAATCCCACAGCTGAGGAAATCTATATTACAATTATTTTATTTCCAGACTAAATAAAAGGTAAACTGCAGTTCCATGTACATACGTGAATAGCGCAAAACAAAACAAAAAGTGGTTCCTCAATCTTGAACTGAAGTTAAGATCTGCCAACATTTCAATGTACTGCTTAGCATCTCTCTATTTCAGTCTTGAAGGAGGGTCTGATCAAGGAGCTGAGAACAAGGGCAGACATTCCTGGTACCAGGCCTGCCGCAACCTTCAATATCTGAAGAAGTCTCTGAGCTATCACTGATCTTCTCTCTGTGGACTAAACAATACAAGGTTATTCCAGGCCAGTGTCATCCTACTGTAGGAAACAAAGGTCAAATTAGAAATTCCAGAATACCTACAAAATCCTTTTCGTGCTCAGTTACATGCCAACATTTGGGAGTCGTTTGGTCACACTTCTTGGAATCACCATACCTTTGACCCTCACTCGGTCTCTCTGTACCCTGCGTAATTTCGCGATAAGACAGCAAGTAGCCGTCTTTAACTCTCCTCCAAGACTGAGACTGAGCTGACACTGCTGCTTGGACCACACGGGGAGTCTGCCTCCTGTTATGGGCCAACAGCAACTCTGAAATGCCACGCAAGAATCTCCTGGATAGGAGCTGGAATTTTCAGTTTGAAATCCCAAATTAAATTTATTTCAAAAGTTCAGCCCAACACTACCATTCCTCAACTAGACGCCAGCAATCTTTGGAACAACGTGCAAGTAAAGTTTTAGGTATTTCAGAATTGGATTGGGTAAAATAGCTGCAGGATTGCGATTGTATTTTGCAAAAACAAAGAGTACCACAAAAATTTTCCTTTCTCAAAAATGCTTTGAAAAACAGAGAAATTGGGCACCAATGCTAGTTTAATACATTGCATGGTTAAATTAGATACAAAAAGCACCTAAATCCATCTGAGATGATGTGAAAATCCCAAACATTACTTAGAAACTTATTGTTAACACCTAGTCCAGCTTGTTCTCCAGGTACGCTCAACATACCTGTCTGTCTGTATTTGACATTGTAAAACATTGACCCAATAAAGAGAAACAAAATCAGAAATTGCTGGAAAAGCTCAGCAGGTCTGGCAGCATCTGTGGAGAGAAATCAGAGTCAACGTTTCAGGTCCAGTGACCCTTCCTCAGAACAGGTCGATAATAATGCCAGCTAATGCTCGTTCCACTTTCACTCTCCTCCCTGGCATTGCGGAAAAAACATGCATTGTACTAGCTTTTGAATTCACATCCAGAATGCTTGAAAAAATACTCAAGTAACTCACTGGCAAAATCTCATACAGGAAGCAACTGGTGGGCACCAGCTCCCTATAAGTGTCGCCAATGCCTCGAGATATAGAATAAAAATGAAGGCAGTGGTAGCTTGTTTATCTTCTTCCCGCTCTGAAACAGATATACAATTCCATATTCCTCAAAAGACAGCCAAGCTCATAGAACAGATGAAAACCAACTGAGTCAAGCAAGAATCAGAACTACACAACAATCCAGACAAGGAAAGGATGTCTGGCATATAGTACTGTGACATCGTGACCAATACAACAATTATCTTATAATTGTTCTTACCTCCAGCTCAGCAGGAATCAGGGGGCTTGAGTAGGAATCTGCCAGTTGCTTCAGGGTGTACATTTCTATTGTTTGGTGCTTCACAGCTTTGCCTGTGCCAGAAAAGGCATATCTGAACTGGAATGTCATAATTTCAGGTGGATATCATTCAACTGCTCATTTACCCTGGCCAATTCCTGCATCTCGCACCGTGGCCTTCTCCCTGACTGATCATTTCTCAGCCTATGTGAACAGGACCTTACAAATGGAGCAATTTCACCTCAATGCTTTCTACCCACTCCTGGCCCTTACCCAATCCTGTTCGTTTATTCCTTATTTACTTCTCAACTCACCCAGACTTCTCCAACAGCACCTCCCAAAACCAGGATCATCTAGAAGGACAAGGGCAGCAGAAACCAGCTACAAGTTCCCCTTCAAGCCACATGCCACCCCTGATTTGGAAATATACCATCATTCCTTCACTGTCCCTGGGTCAAAATCCTGGAATCCACTCCCTAACAGAACGCTGGGTATATCCACACCCAACAGACTGCAGAAAATCAAGACAGCAGCTCACCACCACCTTATCCAAGGCAACTAGGGATAGGCAATAAATGCTGGCTCAGTCAGCAGTGCCCGCATTCCATAAATAAAAAAAATTCACTTCCCCACGAAATCCTAAAAAGTAGACTTAACGCCCAGTCATCACTGATTTTCAGAGATTGTTTTAAGTTAATTGAAATCGAACCACATCTGAAGGAGTCAACTTGAGGAGAAAAATCCTATCATGCAGGTCGCAAAGGTTAAAGGAACAAGAAGAGACAGTGAACCGGAGTGGGGGGATAGGTTAAGACAAATTGAGCTTTTAAAAATTTGCCAAGTGCAGAGAAAAGGGAAAGGTGAGAGGATCCAGTTCAACAGTCCTGGAAATTAGAAGCAGAATTTGACAGCAGAATATTATTTAAATTGAAAAAGACTGCAGAAAGATACAGAGGGATTTGGAAGTCCTAATCCATGCGTCACAAAATGTTAGCATCCAAGTTCAGCCAGTACTAGGGAAAGGAAATGAAATGTTGGCCTTTATTTCAAAGAGAATGGAGTATAAAAGTAGGGAGATTTTGTTAAGACTATGCAAAAGCATTAGTCAGAACACCGCTAGAATACTGTGAAAAGTTTTGGGCCATTTATCTAAGAAAAGAAAATATGGCGTTGGATACAGTCCAGAGAATATTCACTAGGCTGAAAGCAAGTGGGAAGGGACTGTCTTACGAGAAGAGGTTGAGTAGATTGGGCCTATACTCGTTGGAATATAGAAGCATGAGAGATGGCCTTATACAAAATTCTTAGGAGAATTTACAGGGTACATGCAGAAAGGTTGTTTCCTCTTATGGGAGAAAGTAGGTGGCCCCAGAGGGCATAATCTCCGAATAAGGGATTGTATACTTAAGACAGAAACAGGGAGGTAATTACTTCTCTCAGAGGGTGATGAATCTGTGGAATTCTTTATCACTACGGGCTTCGAAAGTTGGGTAATACAGGCAGATTTTTAATTTGTTAAGGAATCAAGGGTAATGGGAAAAGACAGGAAAGTGAAATTGAGGATTATTAAATCAGTCATGATCTCATTGAATGGCAGAGCAGACTTGATGGGGTGAAAGGACTACTTCTGGTCTGAAGTCTTACAGTCTTGAGAGTCTCTCAATCAGTTTTCATCTCAAACTTACCTCCAACTGCAAGGAAGCAAACTTTCCCAAGAAAGTAATTCACATCAACGTAAGCCAGGGATGCCTTCACAGTTTCAACACTGAAATGAATACAAAGAATTGTTTAATGTACAATTATATCAAAATGGTGAAACAGAGATAGTGCAATGTTGTGACTATGACACAGAAACACACCTAACATAATGTGCAGTTTCATGCCCCCTTTTAAGAGTACTGCTGATTATAAGTAGACCCATATTTGCAAGATTTGCACATTATTTTTGATGGCGATGTTTTAACAAAACAGCCAGAAGTGACTGCTAGCATTCAAAACAGCAAGCTCTCTCCAGCATCCTGTATCAGAACATCTGATTTCATCAAACTCCTCACTCAACTATTCCATACTTATTTTAACCCATTAGGCAACACAGATAAGTTATCCAATTGAAGACAATGACACCATTGAGGCCTCAAATGTGGATTTGCAGCACGTTTGCATAATTGTTGAGGAGTAATAATCAGATTCAAATATTATAGCACCCATGGATGATTTGGTTCTTATTGTCTATATTCAGATATGACTTTACCACTGATTAACACAGCATGGATAGTGACCCTCCAAAGTTTACCTCGCATGTTGGTCCCAATATATCGAAGGAGAACAGTCCCAGCGAACTCATTAAGATTATAGATTAAAACTAGTTTATCCTATCAAATAGTTAACCATGTGATGAAATCCAATTTGCAAGCTGTTTTTCTTTCAAAGCCTGTGTTTTCTTTTGGCAGTCCTTAATCAGAAAAGAAACTAAAAACTCCCGGTTTCTGAGAAGGATTTACAAATTGGAATTCCTGCCCGTGACATCAGATGTCTGGAGTGAAATCAGCCTGTTGTTTAGGTTATTAGAGAAATGGAAGTTCATGGAGGAGTGAAAACACAAAAGTGGGGGTAAAGTTTGAACCAGCTGAGCAGTCTAGTCTTTTTCTGTAGGAGAACACTTGAAAGGGTTCAGAAAAGATTTACAAGGATGTTGCCAGGGTTGGAGGGTTTGAGCTATAGGGACAGGCTGAATAGGCTGGGGCTATTTTCTCTGGAGGGATGGAGGCTGAGGGGTGACCTTATAGAGGTTTATAAAATCATGAGGGGCATGGATAGGGTGAATACCTAAGGTCTTTTCCCCAGGGTAGGGAAGTCTAAAACTAGACGGCATAGGTTTAAACTGAGAGGGGAAAGGTCTAAAAGAAACCTAAGGAGCAACTTTTCCATGCAGAGGGTGGTGTGTGTATGGAATGAGCTTCCAGAGGTGGTGGAGGAGGCTGGTACAATTATAACATTTAAAAAGCATCTGGATGTGTATATGAAGAGGATGGCTGTAGAGAATATGGGCCAAATATTGGCAAATGGGACTAGATTAACTTGGGATATCTGGTCAGCACAGACGAGTTGGACCAAAGGGTCTGTTTCCGTGCTGTATGATAAACCAATGGCAACGAAAGGGCTGCCTGTGTAAGACAGTTAACGATGTGGCACAGCTGGAAAAGACGAAAAGGCTGATTCCACGAGTAGAACTGTGAAGGATCTGGAAAGGCGTGCCTTTTGCTGGATATTAGGTATACTAAAGTTGCTGTTAGATAGGACTTTGTGCCAAACTCCTGCACAAATAAAGAGTCTGAAGGGACTGAACATGGTGCCATGTGTGCTGGAACTGCCAGTAATTCTGAGATCTGCAGTACTGGAACTGTGTCAGCTACTTAAAATTGCAATTTACCATTTTAACTGAATATTGTGTGGGTAGAATTGAGGAACCACAAAGGAAAACAGACCCTGATGGGAATTGTGTACAGGCCTTTGAGCAGTAGTCAGGATGTGGAGAAGAAAATAAATCAAGAGACAGACAAGGCAAGTAAGAAAAGCACTATTACAATAATCATGGGGAATTTTAATATGCAGGTGAACTGGGAAAATCAGGTTGGTAGTGTATCTCAAGAAAGGAATTTGTGGATGTCTACAAGTCTTTTTTTAGAGCCGCTCATGCTATAGCCCACTAAATAATACAGAAAATTCTGGATTTTGTGATGTGTAATGAGACAGACTTGATTAGGGCGTTTAAGGTGTAGGAACCCCCTGGGGGCATTGACCAATATGATAGAATTCACCCTGCAGCCCGAGAGGGAGAAGCTCAAATCAGATGTAACGGTATTACAACTGAGTAAAGGTAATAACAAAGACATACGAGGGAGGAGCTGGCCACAGTTGATTGGAAGGGGAGCCTAACAGACAAGATGGTAAAACAGCAATGGCCCGAGTTTCTGGCAGCAAATTGGGAGGCAGAGCAGAAATTCAACCCAAGGAAGAAGATACATACTAAGGAGAGGTTGAGGCAACCATAGCCAGCAAGGGAAGTCGGGGACAGCATAAAAGCAAAAGAGAAAGCATTGAACATGGTAAAGATCAGTGGGAAGCCAGACAATTGTGAAGCCTTTAAAAACCATTCGGATGACTGAAAAAGGCAATTAAGGGGCGATGCTGAAATATGAGGGTAACCTAGCTAGTAACATAAAAAAATTAGAAATTATTTTAGATATAAAAAAGGTAAGAGAGGCAAGAGTGGATATTGAATCACTGAAAAATGAGGCTGGGGAAGAAATAAATGGCAAAGGAACTGAATACGTACTTTGCATCGATCTTCATGGTAGGAGACACCAACAGTGCACCAAAACTTCAAGAGAACTGGGGGGGGAGCAGCGGTCAATGTAGTGACCATCATTAAGGAGATGGTGCTGGAGAAGTCTGAAGGTGGATCAATCACCCAGACCAGATGGACTACACCCCAGGGCTCTGAAGGAGAAAGCTGAGGAGATTGTAAAGGCATTGGTTGTAATCTCTCAGGAATTACTGAAACCAGGGAAGGTGTCAGTGGACTCGAAAATGCCTAACGTAACACCCATGTTTCAGAAGGGAGGGAGGCAGAAGACAGGAAATTAGAAGCCAGTTAGGCTGACCTCAGTCATTGGTAAGATTTTTAGAGTCTGTATTTGAGGATCAAATTGCTGAGTACTTGGAAGTGCATGGTAAAATAGGGCTGAGACAGCACAACTTTGGCAAGGGGAGGTCGTGCCAGACAAATCTGTTAGAATTCTTTGAGAAAGTAATGAGCAGGTTAGACAAAACAGAGCCGATGGATGTGATTAATCTGGATTTCCAGGAGGCCTTTGACAAGGAGCCACAGAGGAGGCTGCTAAATAAAATAAGAGCCCATAGTGTTAGGAGCAAGGTACTGGCACGAATAGAGGATTGGCTGAGTGGCAGAAGGCAGAGTGGGGAGAAAGAACATGACCTGAAATGTTAATTTTGATTTCTCTCCACAGATGCTGCCAGACCTGCTGAGCTTTCCTAGCAATTTCTGTGAGTTAGACAGGTTCTTGATTAGTAAGGGGATCAAGAATTATGGGGAGATGGCAGGAAAATGCTGTTGAGAAATATATCAGCCATACTTAAATGGTATTGCAGGGCTCAACAGGCCAAATGGCTTAATCCTGCTCCTATTTCTTTAAGTCTTATAGTATGTGCAGCAATGTGTATACTAACAAACAAAGGTAGTCAATAGTCATGGAGAACTCATTATTGGATTTCTCAAATAAGAAATTTTCCATCGACAAATCGAAGCATTGACTGCTCCATTTCAAAAGTGAATTGGCGTGCTTGGTAAAGTGTCTAAAAGGTGTTTAAGGAAATCTGTACAGGCAGTTGCAGATTCAAAGATTATGAATAATCATCTGTATGTCAGAAATAGGATTAGAGCTCATTCCACCTAAAACATGTTTCTCATAGAAATCGATGAAAATATTAGCAAGGTAGACAGCATCCCAAGGCTACATCATCTATTTGGGGGTGCAGATTTTATTAAATCAACTTAGACAGTTAAGTTCAGTTACATTCATAAGCTCAATGAATAGATTCAAAAGACAACTTTGCATCTATATTGCTATGGTCATGTGACTTGAGATTAATGTCAATAGTTTCATTCAGTGGCACATGTAGATGTTAGTTTAAAAGTGGCTGGGATTATGCTGGCTGTATAGAATTAAAATTAAAATTAGAACATTAATGTCAATTCTGATATTTAAATTACTTTATTATTGCAATATAAAGAGTTTCATTCCAGCATTAGGGTACACAAGCTAAAAACCTTTTGAAAGAGAACATTCCAATACGCCTGCATGGATACAATAAGCTGATCGAGACAAAACATTCCTTGCGTTGTGATGCCAAGCCATTGTTATAAAATGTGGCTGTGTCTATGGCAGATCTGATTTTTATGACTGTTGTGGCAGTGCAAGTGGCAGTGCAACACTTGGGTCACTCAGCCCTCCCTTGCACACTTTAAGAATGGTGAGGAAAAGATATTCAGAAGACCTGCCCTTATAGGCTGCTGGTCTCCACAACTGCTAGTTCCAGCACCACGTGACAATGAATCATTGCTAAGATTTTATGGTAACTCGATTAAGCCTGTTACGGGTGCTGCACATTCAAAGACAATTTCGGCTCACCTGTGCTGACTGCGCAAATCCATGAGGAAGACAATGAGGTCTATCCGTGGTCTGCTGTGCTCATTCTCCGCAGGTAGTGGCAGGCATTTTGCTAAGTGACTAAAAGAAATGAAAAAGTTTGCAAGTTATACCAGCACCCCAACTGTAAGTTATCAAGTAAACCTTAAGGCGACTTGATGTTATTTGCAATTTATCCAGTTAAAAGGCTCATGAACACAATTTTAGAGAAAAATGTAATGGCTGAGATGGCAGGTTATATGACTGACATCCCACAATGGTGAAGTTGAGCATTGTCCTCAGTCTTGTATAACATGACAACACCCCATGGTTGATTCAAAGCAGCACTCAAAAAGGGCCGGAAGTGAACATGCTTTCAGATGAGCATAGCTTACGCAGCAGGTGGAAGATCCTGACCTGAAACGTCAACTTTCCTGCTCCTGTGATGCTGCCTGGCCTGCTGTGCTCCTCCAGCTCCACACTGTGTTATCTCTGACTCCAGCATCAGCAGTTCTTACTATCTCCTTTGCTATTGACCTGGCACACAGTATGTAAAGCTTTAAGCAAATTACCATTGCATACAGATTTACAGAGCTCTCACTATGTTTCTTATTAAAAATCATTTCTTACAATTATTTTAAAGTATTCATTTGGGTGCTTTTTTGGATCGCACTGTAAGCCAGTCCATAATCTGCCAACGTCAAAACTGTACAGTCGCCCATCACCGGGCAAAACACAGACACGACCTCTGCCTTTTGATACAGTCTGGACCTGAACACTCTACAATTTGTCCATTCTATAATTTTCTTCAACCTCTCCTGCACTATCAAGTTTAAAAAACAACCTTCTTTTTCTGATAGCCACCTAGAGCATAATCCTCCTCCTCTGCTGTTTCGCTAAGTTTGCCTTATTAATGGGGAAAGCAGACAAAACAGGGCAAATTACACAGGTTAAGTCTTGTTAAGTCACATTTGTAATGTGAAACCCAGTCCAGACCAGCAACACATAAAGTAAAGCCGAATGACCACTATTATTTCCATCTATTGCCATTAGACACACTTACAAGAGCTTCAGGTTGTTAACAATTACCACAAGAAATAACTTTGTGTGATTTTACATTAAATAGGAGGAGCAGGCCAGACCATCTATTTCTTGTTCTTCTCCACCATTCAAAAAGTTCTTAATTGAGCTGCTACCTGAACTTACTTTCCTATCTGCACTTTTCTCAATTCCTACACTGTCTAAAATCTATCGATCCTAGTCTTGAACACACTCTATGACTGAGCAATTCACGCAAGACTTGGAGCAGAAATAGGCCATTCAGCCCCTCGATTCACATGTGAGAGAGTTTCTCATTTTAGTTCTAAATGGTTGACCCCATTAGCCTGACGCATTGATCCCTGGTACAGGACACCCCAGTTATGGAGAAACAGCCCCTGAACATCTACCGTCAGAGTTTTAAATATTTCAATACAATGACCTCCCATCAAGCCTATATGCCCTAACCTTGTGCAAGTTCCATGTAGCATCTTATCAAACATCTTAAAATTCAAATATCCTATAGGTACCTTGAATAAGGGTCCAGATGGCCCTACCAATTAGACTCCTGGACTATTAGATTTATAAAACAAAATATCCTTTTTGCAAAGCCATGTTGACATTGCTGAGTTACGTTATGATTTTCCAAGTATGATGATGCTATATTCTTAAAAACACAACCTAGCGTTTTTCCTACGCATCTGGAACAGGCTATTTTCTTAACTCCTCCTTTCTGAAACAGCAGTGAATACATCTGCTTTGCCATCCAGCCTACAGGCATCATTCTAGAAGGTAGGGGATTGTAGATGATCAAAACCAATGCATCCACTATCATTTTGGTCAAATCTTCTAAAACCCAAGGATGTAGGCCATCTGTTCGAGGGTATTTGTCAGTTTCACATCCCTTGTGAATTTCTCCAGTACATTTTCACTAAATATTTTTTATTCTTCATTCACATTGGACTCTTGGTTCCCCACAATTTTCACAATATTTTTGGTGTCTTCTACTGTGAAGAAAGACAAAATTACCACCCCAGGTCTTTCCTTACCTTATAATTTCATCTGTGTCTAACGGATCCATATTTACTTTTTCAACTCTCTTTCTCATTCTTGTATAAGCTCTGTGTTCTTTTATTTCTTGCTAGCCTACTCTCATATTTTGTTTTCTCTACCTTTATAAATTTGTTTGTTAATAGTTAAATATTAAATCCCGATCCTCAGGCTTAATACTTTTCTTGACAACACTGCAATCTTCTAATCCAATTCTAACCCTATGAATTGGATGTTTACAGTAGAGAAGAGGCTATTCAGCCCATTGTGTCCATGCTGATCTAAGATCTGACTACATTATTCTCATTTTCCAGCCCTTGGTCAATGACACTATGGCAAGGGAAGTGAATAGGAACTGCCTAAATGTTACAAGAGTTTCAGATTTACCTGGTCATTCAGATGTCGAGTTCCAAATTCTCCAGTCCAGGCAGCAATCTGGTAAATCTCCTCTGCACCCTCTCTACTGCAATCACATCCCTCCCATATTGTGGTGATCAGAACTGCACACAGTACTCCAGTTGTGGCTGAACCAGCATTCTACACAGTTACAGCTCTGTATCCTGTGTCTCAGCTAGTAAAGCTAAGTATCCCATATACCTTCTTCAGCACCTTATTTGCCTGCCCTCTAACTTAGTTATCTGTGGATACGCACATCAATACCCCTCTGATCTTCAGTCCTTTCCGCATTCCTACCATTCATACCGTAATCTCTTGTTGTACTAACACTCCACAAGTACATTACAATGCACTTTTCCAGGTTGAATTCCACTTGCTACTGCTCTGTCCACCTGACCAGACCATTGATACCTTTCTGCTGTTTATGGTTGCCCTTCTCACTGTTTGCCACCTTGGCAGTTTTAGTGCTACCCACAAACTTCTTGAATCACACCCACTTCCTTTAAATCCAAATATTAATTACACCACTAGCACCAATGGCCCCAGGTGAAAACATTCAGTTTTACCGATGATTGCTAGTGTGTAGGTACAGTAGCTTCTCAATGATTTTGTTGTCCTTGTGGTCGTCTTTAGAACTTACACGTTCACTTCAAAGGACCTATTCTCCTTTAGGATTGCAGCCGCAAGTTGATCCAAATGAAGACTATCAGCTCCCACGAGCTGCAAAATGATGGGAAAAAAATCTCTTTAGCTCAGAATTATCCAACAATTATCCAACAATTATCATACCTACTTAGTCAAGAACATCCTCCCAGTTAATGAAGGTAGTACACATGACAGTAACATTTGATGCCTTCACCCACCCTGCTCACCTTCATCCAAAACCTCAGTAACATGCCCAGGCCAAGGGGAAAAGAGGGGAATCATGGACAGGCCTGATCCTTTCTCACAGCAAAGCCCACAATTAACCTCCATTGACTAACTGATTAAAAGTAAGAATGGAAGTGCGAAGGGGTAACAAGCAGGGGAAAGGACGGAGAATAGGACAGTGAGGTTAATGAGGAAGGGAGAGGGAGTGAGAAAATGATGAAGAGGGGGGTGAGGAGATGAGGGGGACTGCAGGGGAAGGGGAGTGAGGAGGGTGCAGTTAGGGGCTGCAGTGAGGGGGGCAGTGAGGGTGGAGGGGGCAGTGAGAGTGGGAGTAGTGAGGGTGGGGTGGTATTAAGGGGCAGGACAGTGAGGGGGGTATTAAGGTGGTGGAGGGGACAGTGAGGGTTGGGGGTGCAGTGAGGGGGCGGGGAGAAATGAGTGGGGATAGTGAGGCTGGAGGGTATTGAGGGTGGGGAGGTATTAAGGGGTAGGACAGTGAGGGGGTATTAAGATGGTGGGGGGGGTGCAGTGAGGGTGGGGGTAGTGAGGGTGGAGGGGTAT